GGAGTATTTGTGGGTTGGATGGCTGTTGAAATGGTAAAAAAAGCATACAAAGGAAATTTGTTTGTCTTAAAAGGGAGATGCCGACTCAACAACCGAACAGTTTCGGGTTCGTTCACCCTGAGAAAGTGAGACCAGTGAACAAAAAAGTGACAAAATGAACGTTATGAAAGTTCGTTGTGCAAAGCGTTGAGCTACTGCGCTGCAACAGTTCAGAGAACAAGAATTTCGATGAATTTGGTTGGACAAATAATAGCAACTTTGATTGTTTAACGATTTACCGAATTAGCCTCTTAGTAATAAAAGAAGCTTAAAAAAGCTTCGTTTCCTTAGAGTGGCGCTTCTCTGCAGATGTTCGAATACCACAGAGAGTACCTGCAAGGTTCTACGGTATAATTTAAGTGTAAACCAAGGACGAGGAGCAAGTGAAATTCCTAGCTTAACCGAAGAACTTGAGCAGCCGCACTTGTGCGTGCTGAAATTTGTGATCGACTTACTCATTCCAGACGTTGGGCTCGATGTGCATGTTGTTTCGAGGGAGCTGTGGTGTGGCTACGCCATGGACAAAGATTCCGCCCTCAGGAGGCAGACTTGAGGTCGAATGATCGGCTGTCCATTGGATATCCTCGTACTGGAAGACAGCGTACGACCTCTCTTCCATTCTTAACAATGCCAAGGTGAACGTGTTCACCTTGAGAAGACAAAAGTGTTGCTGATAAAACCAAGTTCATCCCTTTTATAGTAATTGGTGTGCTAAAATGTTTCCACTTCGACGATGATAGGATAAATTAACTGACATCAAAACTACTTAGGCCTATGTACGCAAGGAATTGCGAGGCATCTGTGTGTAGTAGGGAAACGTAGAGGAATCGGTAGGTTTTCAAATGGGTAACTGGTTAGGCGGAGTCAAGTGAGGCAGCTGGATGTGAGGAGAAACGTACTGGAGGATGCGATCTGGGAAAGCAGCCCATATTTTCCCAGGTGATGGAAAGGATGTAATCAGCGGTAAAGGCCTTCTTGGCATCTGGTGCAGCGGTGTCGATGATATTTCCGATACGAGAGACGTGGTCCCACACGCAGGTGTTCGACTCCACCTCATTCACGTCAAGGTCCCTGTTTTCAACATGTCAAACATTTCATCGTGTCAATCTCTACTTCCCACGAAGCGCTCTTTTACAAATCATTGCCAATCACCAAAGCCTTATTGCCAAGACTGTAGTGACTTTATTTTACGCATAATTGTGCTCCTTTTATTTAATCCTTTTCATAATTTATTCATTGGATATAAGCTGAAGATTTTGTGCTTAAAGGCCTGGAATGTCCGTGTTTACGAGGGCTTTAACTTAGTGTTTGCACTAGTTGTTGAAGAGGTGTAAGTCGACTTGTACGCGTGCACATGTCAATGTGATCACCTTGGCGGGAAGCCAACGTCATGCGTCGGTCATATGGCAGGACAGGTCAGACCTCACAATAACGATCAGGAGGCTTTGTTTATGTGACCGCTAGGCAGGCAGTCAGCTAGTCACTACATTTTCAAGGCGGAGGAAAGGAGGGGGCAGCGATTTGAGGCGTCGTGAGAGACTGGAAGGTCATGGTTTGTGTGCGTATCCTCTCAACGTAAGCAAACATGCCCCTCGATTCCGTTTATTCTTAGTTTCATTGCATACCTTCTGTTCACAGGTCGTTGTGGTGACTAATACTTGACACCAATGGCATGAGGTACTTGCAGTTGGACTCAGGGGATCGCCAACTGCGTAAAGTTCTGCGATTTTGGGACCCAATTGACAACTGTGAAACATCTACTCAGAATGGTTCTCTCAAGGCCATGTGAAAACTCACAAGACTAAGACAGCAACGATTCACTCATTTCCATTTGCCCTCTCAAGCAGTCATCAAAGGATGCACGCCGACTTGGAAAGCACAAAAGGTGGTGCATAAAGAGGCATTCGTTTGAGTCAATTTGCACAATTTTTTTCTTAAACGTGGTGACCTAGTTGAAGAGTGTCCAACGCCACTACACGACATGATAAAACATATGGGGCAAAAAATTACATTTAA